TTGCAATCAAAACGATAGCTGTCTTACAACAAAAATGTTTTAAAAAAGCATGTAAACATGCTTTTTTAGCTACCATGCCGAAAGTGACAAAAACAACTCTTTTCGAGGCTGTTCTACTTATTTCTACTTGTTTCTACTTATTTCTACTTATAAGTTACTTATAACCTACTTATTCCTACTTATAATTAATAAGGATTTCAAATCGACGCTAAGTAGATCATAAGTAGATATAAGTAGCTGAAGTAACTGTAAGTTACTTATAACTAGACAACAAGAACGGACCTTCAAGTACAAACTCAAGGATTTGATATGTGGGACCTTTTGATTTCCTTTTCTATTCAGGCCGCACAATTTGTTGCCAGAACATCCATTCCTGGGTCGTCTTCCCCATGAAATCGCTCTCTTTGCCGAAATGCCAGGAAGTTAGCGCTTCACAAAGTGCGCCTCAGGCGCCGAAAAAGTTGAGAAGCAATTGCTGAATCTGAAGGTTCCATGAATGAAGCAGCGCCGAAGCTTCAACGAAGCCTCGCTGCTTAAGAATGCGGATGACCTGCGTGTACATAGCATGCTCACAGTCATGCTCGCATGTTCCGTTCCTCCTGCGCGTTCTCATTTTTGTACCCCGTTGCCAGGAAACCGATAAAGACGACGAGTACAAGGACGCCGACCCTGCTCAACCCTATGAATTTTGTGCAACAGGTTTTGATGCTTTCCAATTCTCCACGTGTAATGGATAGTCCAGAAGCAAATCGTTTGGGTCGGCAACATTTGGTGAGCATTTTTGGTCAGGAAGTGGAGTTTGCAGTTGGGATCACAATGGTAGCCACCACAGCTGTTTGGCGACAATACGAGCCAAAGGTCGACGTCTTGCAGGTCGAATCGTTGCCAGACACCATGGTGCCCATGGCGCCCGTACTGAAGCTTACGCCTGAAGGCGTGACCTTTCCAGCACCCATCATTCTGAGAATTCCAACATGCACTGGAGCCAACAAAGCCTTTAGGTCCAATGACGATGGTGACTGGGAAGAAATTCGCGAGGTGAAATTTGCTGAAGATTCCTGCGAAGTCCAGCTCTCCCACTTCTGTCAGGTGGCCATCACAGGAGATGCAAGACCTCTGAAAGCGCTTGGGTTCATCAAAGCTACATCGTCTTCTTCCACAGTGAAGCTGGCCTTGCTCCATGTGGGCTGCAACAGGTGCAATGACGAACTGGCGTGGTACTTGCAAGATGCCCAGCTCTTGCAAGGCTATCAGCAATGTAGTGAGATTGAAGTGATTGGCCAGAATGATGCTGTAATCCTTTCACACTCGGGGACGCGTCTCCAAGAGCTTCAACTCCGCTCCCGTTCTCTTCCAGCTATTTCCAGCGAATTTGCCCGGCAATCTGACGCAGCCTTTCAGGTCGACATTAATGATGGTCAGCGCGATTTTAAAGTGACCTATACTGCCCCACCTGCTCCGACCAATGCAGGAGGATACGCAGCATCTCAATCGACCGCAAGTGGCTCAGCCAGTGCTCAGGCTGGAAACCCTCTTGAAACTGTCATGGAGTCAGCTTGATTGGGGGTGTGGCATGTTATGAATGACTGTGTTTGGTTTGATGGGGTTTACGCAAATTCTGATCATTTCTGATAGACCAGAACACATTTGCCTAAAATGGAGACCTGAAGCCTCAGAACAGGTTGCTAGCTCCAGCAATCCGTCTCCCCAGTCGATTCAGCAGCACGTGATGCTGAGCGGGAGATTCAACAGAGATGACATCAAAGACTACATGAGGATTGCGCCTGAGCATTGATTCCAGCCAAATCTGTCTTTTTGATTCTTTTTGTTCGTTTAAACTTGAGGCAAGCAGCAAATTGGGTCAACAAGTTTATCATAGTTTATCTATTTATGAGTTCGAGGGTATGAGACCTGCGAACAAGGTCAGAAGACGTCTTGAGGAGCTCCAAGTGACCACCTTTATGGTGGAAGCTGGAGGCGGTGGAGAATTCGGAAGTTTGACCCTCATGGGTCTGGGCAGAGCGAAAGCCATGGTGGCTTTCTGCACCGAGGAATATGGCGCCCTGACTGGCGCTACCCGTTCGCAAGATTTGAGAAGCTTTTGATATGTTACTATATGATGTTCTATGCCCCAATGGATGGATCTTTGCATTGGGGTTGGTTGGCAAGTGAAGTTCCTGTTCTGTTTTGCCTGTCTTTGGTGTCCCAACTTGCAAGTCAGGTTGGATATGAGACCTTCCGAGAACTGGAATTTGCACATCAACAAAATCTTCCTCTTATTCCAGTTCGCAATCATCGAGTGTATCCGCCTCAACCTTCAGATTCTGAAATGGGCCGATACCAAAACCGATTCATTCTCAAACCAACTTTGGTGTACATCGCGGACGAGGAGATGCAGAAGCCCAGGGAGGTGGCCGACCAGATTGCCCAAGCTTTGACCACCATGGGCCTCCACACACCACCCGGCGCGCCCAGAGCCCCACGCGCACCCGGCGCACCAGCTCGAAAGGCGCCTCCAGCACTGCCGCCAGCAGTGTCGCAGGCAGCTCCACCAGCAGTGCCGTTGGTTCCCCACCGCCCACCCGGAGCACCGACCCGACCCTCAGGACGAAGGCCGCGACCACCCGTGCAGCCCAGCCTGGAGTCCATGGATTGATGGCGGTCCGGCTGCGCAGGTCGTCCCGGGTCGATCCGAGAGAAGATGATCCAAGAGGTCTCGATTCTTTGTTTTAGATGGACTAGAAAGGCCCAGACCAACGCACACCATGTGTTGCAGATTCCATGTGGTTCGAAAGTTCACCCCTTGGGTCAATGTAGACAATAGTTTCGAGAATTGGCTGAGCGCTGACGAGAAGTAACGTGAGATATTGTGAAATGGGTTGATTGGATTGTTCAAAGATCAGGCTTCCAAAACTTATGGGACTCGTAGGCCGCTGCGTGAACACTGTTCACTCACAGAGTTGCTTTTCTTTGGCAGGGTGGCATTTTGCCAAATCAATGTCATGGCGGTGGAGCAAGATGATGACAGTTCTTGCCGAAGCAAGCTGGCGTCATGCTTAAACGCTTCGTTTCAGACGTGGACAGCTCAAGGTGATTGATGCTTCAAGGGGCATGAACCTTTTGGTCGCCGGTCTGTATACACCGTTCTCAAATCACAGGAATTGTCACCACGGAGACAGGGTTTCAGACGAGTATTTGAGAAGTCGCGTGATTCTCATTGCTTTTCCTTTTTTCTCCAAGGCTGCCATCGAGATGGTCCCAAGTGATGCTTCTTTGGAAGCAACCTTGCAATTTGTGAATTTGTGCATGTGCATGCGACTGCTTAGATGAGGCTCAGTTCGAGTGCCAGCAATTGAGGTCCTGAAATGATCCTGGCTGTGTGATTGCTTTCTGGCACAACTCTGTCATCAAGCAGGATTGTATTTTGAATTCGTGTCATCGATTTATGACACCGAATAAGAGTATTCAACAGCCCAAGTGCTTCCTGTCGCGAAAGGGTTTGTGAGAGAAGGAAAGCTGTTTGAAGTATGTTTCAAGGGAAATTGGGCTTGGTCAATTTGTGCGTAGAGCTTTGACAATGGCTCAACAGAATTGTTAGCCAAGGCAGCTCAGCATTTCAGGCCAAAAGACAACCAAAAGCATCTGAAAAATACATCGCTGTGGCTGCTCAAAGAAGGGGCAATTGATGGGGCTTTGAAAAGAAATCATGGGACATCCATGATTTGGATCTCTCCTGTCGCCTCCTATTACTGGATCATGTTGAGTCAGAGAAGGGGGCGTGAGCAAAAACCTGAAAAAGAAGTCGCCCTTAAGAATCGACAACTGCCTTGCACTGGGTATGGCCGCAGCCGTTTGACATCAAGGGCATCTTCCGTGTTCAAAAAACGTTCCACCCGAAGGCAGAGCGACCCAAGTCAGTTGAGCATGTGTTGCTGAATGTTTGTTTGTTTAGGAGTGGCGGTCGGCGGTCTTGAAGCTCAACTATCTTTTGGACCGGGATCTCCTTTGTTCTAATCTTCCAGGATCTTCTAGGGTGACTGGGACCTTGCACTCTGTCTCCCTTGATTTGACTTGCAGTGTCAGGTGATGTCGAAGAAATCTTTTTTAAGCGAAGGCCGGGAAACTCAGGTGCCGAGAGGCCTCAGAGGCTCAAATATCTGGCAAACCATGTACAAATTCCGTAACTAAGTGCCAGCTGCTCTGCGGTCACAAGAAAGAAAGGCCTTTGTTGCTCTGATGCGGTTTGAAGGTGAAGATCTGTCGCACATTCCTTTGTTTCATCTTGCTTCTCACACACTTCGAACTTGGTTCTTTCAGTTAACTCAATTGCCACGATGGGAAGGAAGGTGAGAAACGGTATGGTGGAGAGTCCGCAATACTTGAAGGTGTTTTAACAAAAGTTGTTTTT